AGGCATTTCCAGTCGTGTTTGGGAATTTGTAATGCTGTAAACAGGACGAGAAAATGGCTTTGTCATGCGGCTTTCCTTGCCAGCCAGTACTACACTGCAGATGGAAACTTGTCATGCAGAACCCCAAAAACTTGCGGATTTGTGTTGCAGACTTCCCATATTGACTATGGTGTGGGGACATTTTTACATAGGATAAACCACACCGCGTACTTTATCGTAAGGAAAAATCCCGCCTCCCCATATCGAAAAGGCACACCTCAGAAGCTTTGCCATGCTGATTTGTGGCTACAAATCGTCTCTGTCTTGCAAGAAGGCAACCCCACAGGCCCCGCAGTATTATGTAAGCGGTTTGTGATGCTATTGGGCCTCCAGCATAGACGTTTCTCATGCTAAGCACCTAGGCCAGCACCTCTCTACTCGGGCTTCATATGGGCCTGCAGTCCTGTACTGCAAGAGAGGTCCGATTTGTGTAAGCAAATCCAGCATCAGAAATTTCGTCTCGATATGGGGAGGGGGGATTTTTCCTTTTGATATAGTTGTTGCAGAACCGGGGGCACCAAAAGTTGTTGTTCGTCGGCCACACGGCATCGTACCGGCGACAGCACCCCCCGACCGTCGGCTCCCGCACCATGTTATCGCAGACGTACCCGTGGTCTTTCGGTTCCAACTGGGGACACCGGGCGTACTTCGCGCATTTCGCATTGTCGAAACACTTATTGGAGCACTCTGTCGACCGAGAATTGATACTCGTGCACAGCTCCGCACAGCTCGGCTCAATAATTTGCTCCGGTGGGGTCGCGGTTGTACTTGTAGTTGCACCACCACCACCATCTTCAGCGGTCGTGCTGTTTTTATTGTCGACGGATATTAAAGCAGACGATGTTCTGAAGATATAAGGGTCCCCCGGTTCCCGCAGGCATACCTTAGCCTCATCGGTGACACAGTCCGTGTTTCTCGTTAAGCAGAGCGCCTTGTCGTCGCAGATGTGCTGGAGGTCCTGTTCCCCGCAACAGTTCGTCGACTCCAACGCAAACGCCACATCGTGGTCGCACAGGCATCGCGCGCTCGCTTGGGCCTGCTCCCACCGGGTGGCGTGCGGATACAGTTTCACGCACGCTTGCCACCCGGCCAGCTGGGCGGACGACGTGAAAGTGGTCCAATCGCAGGCGGATTGCAGGCCTCTTGATCGTCCACTACGGTCAAGGTAGTGCGAGCTGTGCTCATGACTTCTTGTTCTTCTCGCCAATGTTGATTTCTTAGAATCTACTTCACGCAGCTCGTCCCGCTCGCGTGACGCGGTTCCAGTCGACGTCTGAAAAAAGGCGTCGTAAAACCGCAGCGCGGCGTTCTCATCGTGATGCACAACGTGATCTTGCAGGTTGAACGCTTCGAACGGGTCGTTCTGGTTTCGACTCCTGGTTTTGTCACCCACTTTCTCTTGCCGCTCCGCCGGATCATGGTTCCTCTTGCTTTGCGCCGCGGAGGTCTTGGCGAAAGCAAACACTGAGGTTGATGTGGTCCACCGCGATATTAAGTGCGGAACTGCATTGAGGGCGCCGTTGTCTCTTTGTTTAATATCTTTATGATCCTCTCGTTCACGACGAGGGGTGTAGTTTAGAAAAGACCCTAAAAGCACAAAGACTGCGACTAAGCGGGTCAAGATTTTTGGGTAGATGAAACTCTGCTGGTGCCAAAGCATGTTGTTGTTCTGACAGTGGAATAAAACTACTCGAAGAAAAGTGTATTCCAGTATTAAACTCTTTAACAAAGGTAAAAGAGACAGTGTTGCAGCCTCTCTTACCGAGGTCTTGTCCAGAGCTACTGAATACCAATTTTCAGCTTTTGTGGGCGGCTACATAGTCTTTCTTTCTAAAAGGCGCGGGGAATAAAGTAAAACAGAAACCGCAACCTAAGAACTCTATCCATACCCATTTGGTGCTCAAGGTAAACGGGGGAGGGTGAACCTGAAAGTGAAGTGCGCGACTCAGACGGGTTGTTCTTTCAAAATTCTAGTTAAGCGACGAAGACCGCGGCATCTACTAATCACGAAAGCACTTGACCACTAGGCAGAATGGTAAGTAACACTTAGACCGATTACATTTGCAAGAGACGTTCGCGGTGTATATCACAAGTGGAACGACTGCTATACCGATAGTGAGGGTTCTTCCAGGTCTTTCTTTTTTCGCAAACAGATTTTGATTTCCTCTTCATGCGAAAACATGTCATTGACACAGCACAAGAACCGATTCTTTTTTCTTGGCAACTTGCTCAAGGGCAACCGAAAAGTGTGGAGGTGGTATGTGTCGACCTTCGGGTCCTTTAACAAATTAGCGTAGCTCGAATTCGACAGATTTTTTGATTTTTCATGGATTTGATACACAACTGATCAGCGCGAACAGCGAAGTTCTTGCACAGATTGCACAACAAGCGGAGGGCCGCGCGTTCTTATCTATCATGCGCTCTGTATTCATCATGTGCCCTGCCCCGCCGGGGCCGCTCCTTCGTTCCGGTGATCCACATTCCTGCTCGACAAATGGGCAGGGCCATGCGAGCGGGGCGGGCAGCGGCTCTGCTAAGCTGCTTGGCGCCACTGCAGAATCTCAGGTCCAGGCATCCAGCAAGGGCGTGCGACTACACACAAACCAAGCCCAGCCAGCGCGAAGGGGCGCGGCGCGCCCGCGCATGATCCCTGCGTCCTTCATCTCTAGCCAAAAGCGGCAGGCCCGCCGAGGCGGGCGAGCCGCGCCCAAACTCGGCGCCGGCCCCCCCCCCCCCCCCGCCTGCGTGCCTGAACTACTGCGGGCCGGCCCAGGGCGGGACGGGGGGGCGACAGGCCCCCGGCCCACGCCCCTCCCGCCCCCATCACAATCCGCCGAGGCCCCCCAAACCCCAGCGCGCCCCGGGTGCTTCGGCCGCGGCTCTGGTCGTTTGTGCATGCGGCGCATCGTCCCGCCTGGCGCGCGTGCGAGCTTCGCCGCTGGGCAGAACCAATAAAAAGACTCGCTGGCCGGAAACTTCCCAACCCGCCCGCCCGGCCTCTCTCCCAGCTGCCGAACGCGCGCAGCGGTCCAACAAGGCCACACGCCCCGAGGCCCCGGCCCCGCCCGCAAACACCACCGGCCCCCGCTGCGGGGCCGCCCGCCCCTGCGGCCGCGGCCCCTGTCGCTGTTTTCCCAGTAGAGTCCCCAAGTGCTTTGCCTCAGCGATAAAGCTAGGCGTCGCATTGTGTTCAGGAAATCGGCCCCAGAAGGCTTGCAGCGATTCACGAGGAAACTTGCGCACTTCCTGCACAGTGCTGAGCAAGGGCCGCGGGGGCTGCCGCCACTCGCCCAGACGGCCGGCCCGGGCCCCCCTTGGGTCGCGCGGCGTGGGGAGTGGCCGCCCCACCTTGGGAATTGTCCGGAGGCCGAAGAAGCAGCCGCCCCAAAGACGGCGCCGGCTGCGCGGGAGGCGGGAGCAGCCGCTGAACGCCGGGAACGCACACCCCGCAGCCGGCGCTCGGCTTGCGCCAGCAAAAGCAGGCCCCGCCCGGGGCCGGGCGCCGGCGGGCTTTCGGATCGCACGGGCGTGGGGCGCCAAAGAACCCCGCCGGGTGGCTCTTCTCCTGTCGGGCCCGGCGGGCCCGGTGGGGCCTGGCGCCGGCTGTTCTAGAGTGGAGCGGCGGCGGCAGCTTTTGAGGATCGCGCCGGCTTGTGCCGAAATGGACTGCAGCGCCCTCTTGAAAAAAGGGTCGGCGTGCATTTGATTGCGAATCGCCAAGACGCTCGTGATTGCTTCAGGCCGGAAATGGAGCCTCGCCAAACACTTGCAAAATTTGCAAAGATAAGCAGAACACACACCGCTGATCGAGCGGTGCGGAGCTTCGACCGATTTATCGGTGATCGGGAGGTCATGGTAGTTGCTAGTACTATTACAACTCATACTTGTTGTTTTCATTTTATTCACTCATGAGTGGCGCAAGTTGTTCGAGTGCCAGCATACGAGGTTGACGAAGAAGTATCTTGTAGCTAAGCTTCAGAAGATCCACATCCTTATCCTTTAGCCCAACTCCAACAAAAGTCACACTACAACGACAGCCCCTGCTGCAGTGTGAGCTTGTCGACCCGGCTCTTCAGCAACTTCCTCCGCACCTCCATCTGGTCCAAGATGTGCGAGTTCTCGAAAATCGCACAGACCAACTCGTAGTGCTCCTGCTGCTGCTGTTCGGTGGTTTTAGGGATACTGATACTACTTTCATCCCCCTCCTCCTCCTCCTCCTCTCCTCCATTCTCCAGATTTACGTGCTCATTCCCGGTCGGAAACTGAAACTCGCTCTGCACCGCGGGCGCCGCGCTCGCTTCCGCCGCCCCGGAAGGGCTGGTATTTGTGGAGCTACCGCACTTTTCCGGTGGGGCGGGATCGTTTTCTTGGCATTGACCTGCTCCTCGCGGCTTTGATGTACTGTTTCCATTCACATTTCCGCCATTCATCTCCTCCTTCGCCCCCTCTCGTCCTTCCGCATTTGATGTCGTTCCTGCTGTACTGGCCGGCGAGTCCTGTTCATCTGCTCTGACCTTCACCAAGGACATTGTCTCCAGTTGTTTCGCCGCAAGCTCGATTTTTTCCTCCTGGATAAACTCCTTCAGCTGCTTATTGCTGTCTTCCAAGCGGTACATCTTGTGCATCAACTCGTCGAGTAGAGATTCCAATTGTTTCGCGTTCTTGATCTCCAAAATTTGGTCGTCGGTTTCATCTGGGATCCACTGAGGCAGCTCGAGTTTCCGCTCGAAAGACTCGCCCGGGAACTTGATGGAAACCATTTTGATGTTGTGGTCTTTTTGTTTTGATAAATGTCGCAGAATCTTGTATTACTGGTGAACAATGTTCACATCATGCTCAACTGACAAGATGAAGGGAAAAACAAAAATCACTATGTCACTATATCCAATCGACGTTTATTCTTGGGTGAAGACGACAGCGAACTTAAAAAAAGTAAAGTGAAAAATCACTGCGTGGAGAGAAAGTGAAAATCTGTGAGGGCCTGTGTGAAAATCAAATTGATCACGTCAATGGAAGGTTGTGAGACATAGGGTCGAGACGCGGCGTGCACGGAAGATCGTCTATGTTGCATTGATCTTGGTTGGGTAGTTCTTGTAGCGAAAAGACATAGAACAGTTGTGATACTTTGGCGCAAACCTCCTAATCGCAACGCATTTAGCGGACGCACGAGGAATCTGGTCACAAAATATTATCTTCTTGTTCTCTATTATCCGCGTGCAAAATTGTGCGTTGGAAAGCTGCGTCCAGTTTTTTATATACAGTGTGTCGTGTAAGTTTCGTCTCCTCATCCATGCACAATATCATGCTGTAAATGGTACCCACCTGCACCAACATGCATGCATCAATTAAATCGTATGCACACTCGCTAAATTTTATATACAGTTTGATACTTACTTACCACCGTGTCATGACACTATTGAAAATTTATCAAGTGTGTCTGAATGATCCAAGAATAGAATGATACAATCCTCGTACCTGTGTGTCACAATTCAGAAAAAGAAGAAAATTGCGCGGTAAATCCATGCAAAATTTGCTGAAAAACGAAAAGTGAAAATGAATAAAAACGAAAAATATTGTTCTGCTGTTGTAACTGAAAAATTGAAAGTTTTGATTGAATCGATCTGAAGGAACCAGCACGGGAAACCGTTTCTCCTCTCCAACAAAGATACATAATTACAATTAGATGCTTTTGATGATTGAAATAAGTTTGTCATGCTACTACGATAAAAATGTTATTAACTTCAGACAATTTTGCTACAGTTGAAAAAACACTAAACCGATACCAATGCCAAATCAAGCTCATAAAAAACCATACACTCTTCGCACAAGAAACCTCCTACCCGCCTTCCTTACTCCTGAATGCTCTCCTGCACGCCTCTTGCTACTTCCACCCCCATCTGGCTGTGACTCGTCATCATGCTCCCGGTCGCGGTCTTGTTCCACAGCCGATTGTAGTGCTCGGCGTAGCGCTGCAGCGTGTCGCCCAGCTTGTCAAACTCGGTCTTTGGTGGGGTTTATCCTGGGGAAAAACGTCCCCACCCCATTATTTAGACAAGGAAAATCGCAGAAGTTCATCAAAAATCGAGCACCCCCCTGTCCGGGGCTCCCGGGACATATAGTTGATTTGTGTGGGCCCCAACCATTTCGCATTTCCCCCCTGCGGAGCCCGCCCCGCCATGCGCTGCCGCTGGCATGTGTGTCGTTTTGAGTTCTCACGCCTGCGCATGTACGAGCCGAAGCGCCTCCAACATTTGCTCTGGAACCCTGCTCCGGTTCAAAAATAGGCGCTCATGAAAGAACAGCCCGAAGGCGTTCGAAGGTGGCGCGCGTTTAAAATCGGCGCCATTGTTCCGAAAACGTTCCGGGGCCCCATTTTTTGTCCTGTCGCAGCGCAGAACGCTTCCACTTTGTCGCCTGAATCTTTTGCGCAGCTCGAAGAATGTAGAGCAGCGACATTACATCCACCAGCAGAACCACCCAGAGCCGCAGGAGCAAACGGGCAGCCGCCCAGTCCGTGTCCCCGCCCCGGCCTGGTTGCCGGCAGCGCCGGGCCACGTGCGCTCCCGAAGGCGCCACGCCCCTGTCGGAATTCGCCGGCAAGGCCGGCCGCGATACCAGTGGCGCGGGCCGGCGCGATGCGTTTTGCGTATGTGGCCTCCGTCCGGTAGCCGAAGACACCCCGAACGCCTCGCCCCTGTTCTGGAAAGTTTTTGGCAGATTCAAAAGCGCGCGGCCGTGTGCCCGCATTTGCTGCGAAGACGAGGCGGCCCGCCGTTCTTTCTTCCAAAAGCCCGCGGCCATGGGTGTCTTGGGACGTGCTTGCCCTGGGAATATAGCGGGGATGGGGGCAATAAAACAAAGAAGGCGAGAAGGGAAAACCGGGAGGAGCTCCTGTCCGAAGGCGAAGCCGGGGGGCCCCTCGGGGGGGTGCTCTAGGGGGGTGCTTTTTTGGGCGCGGAATTCTTCAGTTTTAGGTGGGGGAAAGGCTTCCCAAGGGGGGTGCTTTTTGGGGTTGCTTTTTTTTGCGAAAAAGGGGGCCCCTTTGGCTGCCCGGCCGGGGCCCCCGGCGGCCGCGGAAGCAGCTCTTTTCGCTTTTGGCCAAAGAGAACGCCGGCGGCCCCGGAGCCACGCCGGGGCGCGCCAGGCTGCCCCCTTCGGACCGGCCGCCGCCCCGGCCGCCAGGCACCGCTTCCGATCGCAGCGAAGGCGGGCTCAGGGCCGCGCGCTTCAGCATCTGCCAGAACCTTTCCAGAACTGGGGCGAGACGTTCGGGGGGCCTCCGGCCATCGGACGGAGGCCGCACATGCAACACCCACCGCATCGGGCCACGCCACTGGTATCGCGGTCGCCCCTGCCGGCGATTTCCGACAGGGCCGCGGCGCTTTCGGGCACGCCTTTGCCCGGCGCTTTCGACAGCCGGGCCGGGGCGGGGAAACGGGCTGGGCGCTTGCTGGTTTGCCCCTGGCGCTTTGGGTGGTTCTGCTGGTGAATGTGGCGGCGTTGCTCTACATTATTCGGGTTGCGCGAGCGATTCAGGTGGCAAACTGTAAGGGCTCCGCGCTGCGACAGGACAAGAAATGGGGGCCGGCAACGTTTTCGGAACAATGCGACTCATTGTAAACGCGCACCACCTTCGAACCCTGTGGAGCTGTTTTCTCATAGACGCGCGTCTTTGAATCGGAGCAAGACTGTTAAGCAAGTGCTGGGATCGCTTCGGCTCGTACATGCGCAGGCGTGAGAACTCAAAACGACACACATGCCAGCGGCAGCGCATGGCGGGGCGGGCTCCGCAGGGGGGAAATGCGAAATGGTTGGGGCCCACACAAATCAACTATATGTCCCGGGAGCCCCGGACAGGGGGGTGCTCGATTTTTGATGAACTTCTGCGATTTTCCTTGTCTAAATTATAGTCAAAACGGTATATATAATCTGCAACACAAATCTCCAAGTTTTGGGAGTTATGCATGACAGGTTTGGCCCTGTTTAGCCAGTTGGTTCAGCAGCGTCACAATTCTAGCACATCATGCTGATTGGAGCATGACAAACTCCGAAACACGACTAGACAACGCCTCTAGTTTTGGAACTCCGCATGAGAAATATTTTCGGCATGCACATTTGCATGACAACTCTGGGGTGAGGACGTTGTTACATAGGATAGGGTTTTCGGCTTGTTGAGTGCGCGTTTCACCGGCGGTTTCCACTTGGCAATCTTCTTCACCTCCACCTCCAGCTCCGACTTGTTTTTCTTCGGCGCCGGCGGTTTCTGCAGCAGCCGTGCGAAGGAGTAGCTTCTCCGGCTGTACAGCAGCTGCTCTCCCTCCCGCTGCGTGTAGTCCACCGCTGGCGGGTGCATCCAGGGCTTGTGGCTAGTCGATGCCATGCTGGTACTGCGGGTTCTCCCGGAGCCCGTCGTCTTGCTGTGCGAAAAGCTGCTAGTGATAGTAGATTGCGACGCAGAAGAGGCAACTTGCACATGCTTACCCCCGTTCTTCTTCTTGCCTCCCTGGACGTCTCCCCCGGTCGGTGGGTATGCATTTTCGCAGAAGTACCGCACTAATTTTTACTTCTTAGTAGGCATTGCATTGCAATATTTCCCAGAAGAGACTATAGTAGGCCTTGCATTGCAAGAACAAAAATGAAAAATGGCTGACTCAGGTAAAAAGGATAAAAGCCTTGCCGTACACTATTGAAAGAATCAGAAGTACGGATAAAAATTACACGATACTTTTGCGAGTAGATAATGGTCCCACTGCAACGATTGCCGGCAGCATGACGCCCGACGCAACTTTGTTATCCGCACTGACACCCCGCTCCGCGGCCTCCTGCGCCGCCTCCGCTTCCGCCAACCCGGCGAGCTATCGCGAGGAAAAATGCCCCCAACCCCAAAGTTGCAAAAATTTGTGATGCATAAGGTTTTCAAATGAAGAACTTTTTATCTATGCGTGAAAGGAATATGAACCTTTCTGATGCAGGGTCTAGGTGTGTAGTGTCGCGTCGCTTGCATGACAAGCGCCGCTCTTGCAGCTGGGATCTTTTGCAATAGTACAAATGTTTGCTATTCACGATCGGAAATCTGTGACGCTGATAGATGCAAGAGGGCGAATGTTTCATTTGGAAAGGTTTGCAACACAAATGCTCCCAAGTTCGGGGGTGGGGGCATTTTTCATTGTAATACGAGCGGGAATTTTTTCCGGACCAGCTCGATCTCTTTCTTGACCGGCGGAAGCTTTGTTTTCTTGTCCTCCTCCTCATCCTCGTCCAACACCAGTGTGTGCGTCTCCGCCGTCTGCTCGATACCAATCCTCGTCGACTCCGTCGTTCCCAGCCTCGACCCCGGCTTCTGTTTCGAAGTTGTACTCGCGACGCTCACGCCACCGGCTGTGGAGGCCACGGACTTCGCGGACTTCGGGGGCTGGGTGGAAGACGTGACGTTCTTCAGCATGAAGTCGTCCTTTTGCTGCTGCAACGGGTTCGCTTCCGTGTTGATCGGCGGCAAAACAAGCTTCTCGTGGTTCACGTCCGCGTGCCAGTTCAGCACATACTCGTGCGCCTTCGCACGCCATTGCACCATCTGCTTCGGGGGACCGTACTTTGACAGGAGTTCGTATGTCTGCCCGTTTTTCAGGGTCACCTCGCGGATGTCGTCTCCTGTGATAAGAGTCGTAGGACACAGAATTATGTAATTGCATTCCCGCATGACACCATCGTGTTAGCGAGCAGCATTATGCATGACACCTTCAAAAATAAACACCATCTACTTATACGTGCGGGCACGACGCAGGCGAACATCTGGACTAGCCAAACTTGCTCCGGGTCCCCCATGGCGAGCTTGAAGACGTAAACCCCTTTCGGGACCTTCACGTTCGGATATTACAGTGAAAAATGCCCCCACCCCCAAAGTTGCAATAATTTGTGATGCGAAGTTTCCAAATGAAAACTTTTTGTCATGCTTGCAAGGAATATGAATGTTTGTGATGCAGAGCCTAGGCGTATATAGCATTGCTTGCATGACAAGCGCCGCTCTTGCTGGGATCTTTTGCAATACAAATTTTTGCTATGCACGATTGGAAATCTGTGATGCTGCTAGATGCAAGCGGGCGAATGTTTCTCTTGGAAAGATTTGCAATACAAATGCTCCAAAGTTCGGGGGTGGGGGCATTTTTCATTGTAATATCGGATTCTGCTTCACTCGAAGTTCAAACTGCTCCCCCGGAGTAATTACGCCCTCTCGGTGGGGCATCACGTTGAAGCTGTTTATTTGTCGTGTGGTTTTGCATCGCATTCTTCCACCGTCACATGATCTTAACGCTGTTCTACTTTTGTTAATACGAAGTTAGTAGGCTGTTCATCTATAAAATCGAAAAGTCTACTGCTGCACTACACCAAGTGAAAGGCTTTCAGAGAAAGACAAAGAGAACCCGCAAGAAGAAGACGAAAGCGAAACGTAAGTCTAAAGGAGCAACATACATTGACATTCGTAATATACAAAACAGGGTTCGCCTTGGTCGTGAGCCGCCACACCATTCTGTACATCGAATCGTTCCGCACCGGCACTTATCAAATGCAAAAATGTCTGGGTCTGGACGGTTGGAACTTGTCATGCTAAATCAGAATCACGCAAAAATCTGTGTTGCATGACTGCCAAAAGCTGTCCACTTTCGACCAAGCTGCGAGGGAGTTTCTCATGCAGCATTGGCATGATGGAGACCTCACAGAATCTCTCATGCTAGGTTCTGCATTCCAGACCTCGTGGGTCATACAAAATGTGCATGACAAGTGTTGCAGTCTTCCAGACCCAGACATATTTGCAATGCATAGCACTCGCGCGACGTCCTCTAGCGACATGAGATTGTAATTCCTCCCAATAACCCCATCGGGCTCGGGCGGATTTTTCTCGTCCGTTGCAACTACAGAAGCTCGCTTGCTGCTCTTGTTGTTCCCATTACTATTCTTTCCACCAACGGACAGCTTTGAACTGCTTTTCTTCGCTTTACTAGTACTACCTCCGCCAACATGTGACGATGTGTGCACAGACGCTGTCGACGTCGCATTCATCGCTGCCATCTGACGATCTAGGGCGAGTCCTGATGGCTCGTTGGTATTTTCCACGTCTTTCATTTTCTGCCGGTGGACGGGTGACGGGTCGTCCAGAATGGAGTGCTTTTCTAAACTCTTATCCTGCTCGGAATTTAACTTGACGCTTGTGGTGCTGCGACCCCGGGTTGTCGTGCTCTGTTGGTGCGCTGCAGGACCGCCTGCACTTGTATCTGTCGATAGTCCAGGTAGCTGCACCTGCGAGGTGTTCTTGCTAGCAGTCGACTGCTCTCTATGCAAGAAAAAAACTGTGTAAATGTAACTTTCATTTTGGAGGAACAGCATCAGAAGTTTGCTCTCCATGACAGAGAAAACCTGTCATGCGCAGCTAGCGCGTGAACACACGTACGAAACGAGCCCCTGACGCATGTCCAGCATGATAGTTGTAAGTGTCTTGCATCGTTTGCAACACAAAGTTACACTTGAACAGTTTTCTTGTTGGATACTCTCCGAGAAACAGCACGTCTGGCATGGGCGTGCCGTCCACCATCACGCTCGTCACGTCGTTGGACATCAAGCTAAGGTTTGGGCTATCCTGTGGAAAAACATCCCCATCCCATAGCTGTCGCGCAAATCTGCACGCTTAAAATGTCTCTCATGCGGAGCCCCATGAGACGCGTTTTTTCGTCGTGTTTTGGAATTTGTGATGCTCAAATAATTTAAGCATCACAAATTCCAAAACACGACGAAAAAACGCCTCCAGCTTCTCGTGCTAATTTGAAATTAGCACGAGAAGCTGGATTTGTGATGCTGTTGCACTAGCTAAACACGGACAACACTGCGAGCCCAAACTTGTCATGCGTAACAGCCAAAGGCTGTTGATTTGTCTTGCAGATTTCCCAACTTGACTATGGGGTGGGGACGTTTTTACATACAATATGGGCTCATCAAAGTCGAGCTCATCATACTCTTATTTCGCATCGTAGATCCGCTGGGATCGTACAACGTGGCGGCCTGTCGTGCGGCCGCGGCGTAACTCTTACTGCGCTTCAGGTGTTGGTGCCTAGGAAATTATAATTTTACAGAGTTTCTTTGCGTCTCGCATCGAGGTCTTCGCTTTTTCGTTGCGTGTAGTTGGAAACGTGTGTAGCTCGTATCATCAAAAAAAGCAAAAAATAATACTGGTGTCTGCTTTGCACGTAGAGCAACGGCGCGTGCAGCGTCTTCGTCGTGAAAGGTTGGTATACGTGCTTCGAAGCCCGGAAGTTTCCGCGCCCTCTCGGACCACTGGAAAACGAGATGGTGCGGTTGAGAAAATCTTCCATGGCCATCGCCGGGGTGGGCTTCGTGGTTTTCGGGTAGAGGGGAAACTGCCGCGCACGGTAGTAATACTTTCCAAACTCCTGCTGGTTCAGCGCACCATTCGGAAGAAAACTTTCCCCCGTCGCCTGCTCGTGGTTCGTTTCCAGGTTATAAATGTCCGAGCCGCGGGCATCCTGTGTGAAGATTTTTTGTATGACGAAGAAAGATCACAAGATGACGTACATTTCCTTGTTTCCCAGTGTTCTTCAAGCATGACAACCATAAACTGCTCACTGCCTCATGCACAGCGTCAAGCTTTATCAAATTTTACTAAATAAAACCTGTGTCCAGTGGTGTTCATTCTTTTCGGCGTCTACTTCAGCGAACTCTTTTTTATCGTTGTTCCGCACATACAGCCCTTTACTTCTGTCCAAACTCGGAAATTTTTGCGGGTCCCGCTTTCTCTTCACCGGCCCACCCGGCACGTAGGGTAAACTGTATTTCGTCGACAAATGCTGCCGAACCGTTTCCACTTCGGTCCGTGTGTGCCCATCCTGGATCAGGAAGATCGAATCTAGCCGGCTGGCGTAGTTCGGATCGACTAGATTCGTGCTGTCCTTCATCCTTTTCCTAGTACTGTGCTTCGTTCGTGGAGGAGAATGCCCTCAAATATCAAACCAAGACGTGGTTCTTTTGCTGGCCATTTTTTGTTTTCCCGCGCAACTGGAGTGAAGCGCTTATTTACTGAAGGTCAAGATACTGCATTGAATTATCAAAATCAATAATAAAGTGCCACCGAAGCTCTACTAGCGATGGTAGAAAAAAAAAGCCCAGACTGTGACTCGAAGTGGAAGTTTTTTTTTTTTACGACGTGAAGATGATGATTGATGTTTGTCGTGACAACGAATTCAGTTGCTTCACGGTACACGACGTGACAGACGAAGAACGAACAGAGGCACGGAAAATTATTAGTAGATTACGATGGGGCAACAGACCGTAGGAGAAGTGGAATCAATGTCAAGCATGTACAGTGGCTAGTGACGAAGAAACGAAATTACGATGAAGCTGTGAGAGTTACAATGCTCTATGGTCTTCATGAAGTTTTGCTTTTCCTACCCACGACACGATAACTTTCTTCTAATTTGGCGACGCAATATCTATATCAGAGGAAAAGTGTAAGACGATGCTTTAGAACAACCGACAGCGAGCGTCATCCCCCGCCTGTCCCTGCTAAGAAAAAGAATGCTGAAAATAATAACGGCCAAGAAAGTACACATCAAGCTATACGACTTCATCTGCAAATCTTTGTCTTGTCGAACAAAAAATGCAACCCCGACGAGCGGCAGAAGTGTGTGATTGTTCATTGATTGTTTCACAACATCGTATCCAAATTACACAGGCGCTGAAGAACCCACGTCGCTACAATCACTTCAGTTTCGAGACTTTTTCCATCTCTTCTACCCGTCTGGCCAGCAGTTCCACGGTTTTCTGTGCGAGTTCTATCTGCGAGATGAACAGCGGATCTTTATCTTTACCACTTCGTTCTCTTTCGCCTGCTCCGTCTCCTGCTGTTCCCCCTGTCGGCGAGGCAACATGCTGTCCCTTCGAATATATGGGTAACCGCGAGGGACTCGTGTCAATATCCACTCCGCCGGTGTACTGCAATAGCAGCAGTTCTTCCTTCAACCGGCTCGCTTCCTTTTCCAGGTCTTCCAACTGACCCGCTAGCACTTGATGTCGCCTGCTTCCCGTTTTTATCGATATGATCCCCCGTTGACTTTTTCCTGCCACGGGTTTTGTAGTTCCGACGTCTTTTTCGATTGTAGATTTTTGGCTCGAATGCTTTCCGGTCCCCACGTGGCCATCGTCCACCCTCGCAAACACTTTACTCAGAGCGCCAATCTCATCCGTTTTTTTCCTCAATTCGAGCAACTCGTCGGTTGCTTCCTGCGCCAAGATTTCCGGCGATTTTTGCCGCTGCCCTTCGACCGCGTAAGACTTCATTTTGTTCCCATGGCCACGACGACTCGGGTGAGCTTGCGGCTCATGGTCGTTTCGGCTAGCGCCCGTGTGGTCTATTTGAAACGCAGATGAAGCGTTCTCTTGATGTGTTGAAAAAATCCCCTGCAGCGCCCGTTTCTCTGCGACTTTGTCTTAGGGGTGAAAAAAATCCATTCCGAGCCCGGTCCCCAAAATGTTTGCTGAAGTAATTCTTGCAAGGGATGAAAAGTCGGTAGGGCCCCGCTTCGCATTCGAGGAGCATCAAAAAACACGAGCTGCGACCATTTTGACAGCCTTTTCCTACCTTTCACCGTTTCGCGTAAATTTGCAGGCATTCAATTTTTTGCTCACATTTGTTTGCTCTACTCCTTCAGCGGTGTCCGACAGAAGTCCGGAAAACGCCAAATCCTATTGGAAATTTGTTTGTTGGGCCCACTTGTGGGACTAATTCATTTCTTTCACACTTCAGCTGAAGTTCAAATTTGACTTAAAGCTTCAAGTCAAATTTGAACTTCAACTGAGTTTTGAAAGAAATTTGCAAGCTCTGCAAGTCACAGAGTCTTGCGAGAGAGCGGGAAACGATGATAAAACGCTCCCAGCTCCTTTTCCGCCCCGAAAGGCGCACGATCACAAATGAAGGCCCGCAAAAAGGTTCAAAAAATCAAGTCGCTACTTTGCAGCGCGAACGCGCTCACAAAGCCGAGCGTCACAAACTGCTGCGCGTGTCTTCTATCTTGCGCAGATGCCTTTTTTCTGGCCAGGCTTCAAACATTTTGGGAGCCGTTGAGCGGATGGATTTTTTTGACCCTTAATTGTCGACTAGAATCTTCACCAAGCCTTATCCTGAGTAAAAACGTACCCACACCAGAGTCAGGATGAGGATTTTGCAACACAAACCTAGGAGTTTTGTGAGTCACGCATGACAAGTTGCGCTATGCAGTGTAGTGCAGTTTAGCAAGTGCAGCCGCGTCACAGATTCATCTGCTCATCCTGTTCACAGCATCACAATTTCCAAAACACGATTCGGAGTGGCTCTCATGGGGATGCGCATTACGAGTCTTCCTGTCTTTGCAAATCTGCATTACAACTCTGGTGTGGGTACGTTTTTACTCAGGATAAGCCTTTCTGAACTCTTTCGAACTCGCTTTCCTTTTTCTTCTTTTCCCAGACGTACTTCGCGACTTTTGCGCGGAGCTTGTTCGAAAAATACGCCCGCAGTTCCTCGACCGTGGCATGGTCTTCTTTTCTCTCCAAAATCGTCTGTTGCGTTTGCAACTGCGCCTGCCGTAGCAGACGGGTGTTCTGCTCCAGAAATTCCGAATCGTGCGCGAACCAATCCATCTTTCTTTCACAACTAGTACAACTTCACCCGACTTTGTTTAATATTGTTCCTCAGAAAATAGCCGATGCGAAGATGTCATTGACGTATGGAACTTTCCCTTTGATACCGATGGTCGTGACCAGCATCTCTACTTAAGTAAAGCATCTTCTGAGCCAGAAAGCCAATTACTGCTGTATTTCAGAAGCCCTTTTTACGACCTAAGAGTAAGATTCCTCCTGCGGAAAGCACGGTGACCGAGGCCGCGAGAGCGACGTATTAATACTTTGAAGCGGTACTAGGCATGAGCATCACACAGCGGTCGGCAGCGCGCCACCGAGGAATAAATTGGACACTGTCAAGCGCTGGCCCTCATGGGCTCCCGCCAGGGTGTTGGTTCCTCTTTGCATGTTGATGTGATGTCCTCTATCGACATTTCGATAAGTTGCACGTTCTTGTATTGAAATGATTCTATGTGAAGAATTATCCGCACGACCCAGCATGCGCATCTTCAAGGGGAAAAAACGAAGAACTTGTCTGCAGCAAGTACGCCAAACTGTATAGAAAAAGGATAAGGATCTGCAACTAACCACAAGTACATGGCAAAAGAGACCCCTGCTAGTACTGGGAATTCCTTATACTCATCCTGCGACCCTGAAATTATTCCCGTGTGGTGCCGCAGTAGTTGCAGTCTGGCGGTTTTGTCCACTGCTTGACACCGCGGTGCAGTTCGGTTGCAGCAAAGAGGATTCCGACACGACGAAGTTTATTTCATCCGCCGATGTTCTTTTCGCAGATAAAGACATTTGCGGGTCGTGGTCTCCCACCGCCGCGGCAGCTGCACTTGTTCCCATCTTCAGCTGCAGCCAGCAGCTGGCCATGAGCGCCGAGTAGCCCAGCACCGCGGCGGTCTGGCTCAGGCGCGGGCGCGGGTCCTGGAGCAAGTGCGTGTCGAAGAGCACAATCAGCGCCGCGGGGGTGACCAGCCCCACAACCGCGAGAACCGTCGTGCCGTAGAGGAAAGGAAGGATGAACTGGGATTGTTTAGAACAAGAAGAAGTGCTGTTTATTTTCGCATGAAGTGCCGATTCATCTGCGTCCACTCGATAATTCCGGGAAGACAACAGCGAGGCCGTCAGGGATGATGATGAATTGTTGGACGCCATGAAAATGCCATTCGTCCCGTAGTACCGGCTTGTTCCGTCGTGCTGTGGATCATCCTGCATCACAGACAGTAAAACAGCGTCTTCCCCACCGGCTGGCGGTGGGCGGTGGAAGAAGTTCACCTCTCCAGGCTTCGTCGTAGAAGTCGTGGTTGGAACATTGACCCCGGTCTCGTCCGAAGAACGAGATGCGGGGATCAAAACGTTACCACAATAATTGTTCAACTCCTCTTGTTTCGCAGCACTATCGCCCCCAGAAATCCTCGTCGTCCTACTTCTAGCGCTGTTGGTGTAGACCAGGAACTGCACGAGATTCGTGAGTAAAGTCACCAGCAGAATGAACTGCATTCCGTGGAAAAGCAGCACGTTCGTGACGTTTTCATTCCCGAGCCAGTTTGTGTCCAACCAAGAGCTCGCACCGAGGGGGAAGGGAAGGCACAGAACCGCGATCAGGAAAACTAGGGCGGCGACGACAAACATGATGACGTTATTGTCTATTGGGAACGACTAACCACTACTTACCGCGTTGTAGTTCTTTTGATAAAGCGAGCTCTGTTCTGACGACTGCTTTTTTACTTCTAGCTCTAGCTCCCTTTATTTCTCTTCGAGAGCGAGGTTGCTCTACCACTGCAATGTCGGTGCAGGGAAAAACTTCCAGACTCTCAATTACAACTAGTCCGCGATGCTATCATGGCTAATATGCTGAAGCTAATCTTCGTTTTTTGTTCCTTCTCTCCCGAAGTGATGAAAAATCTGAATCTCTCGTAAAAACGACATCGTGTACTTCATCCCGCTTCAATATTCTTGTTCTCTCCTTTTGCGCGTCAGTTTATTTCTCTTTTTCCTTTTCGTCAAAACAGTTCGAGGAAGAGGGTATCTAAGTACCAGAGGGCAGCAGTGGAAGGCGCAGTAGACACACAGGTGCTCTACTGCGACTACTACGACATCGACGTTTTGCAGTTCAAGTTTTTCTGGTGGAAGATGACAGAAGTTATTTTTTCGGGAAAATCCAAACAGCTCGGTTTTCAACCGAAGCATTCGATTTTCAAACTTCATCCGCTTGTGGTATCAATGAATAATACGTGGCAAATTCTTGATGTTCATCTAATCGTCTAATTATACGTGGATCTGGATCAATCAAACGCTTCTTCTAGTTGTACTTCCTCCCAATGAGGCGGTTTAGTACGTAAACGCCAGTTATTTCATCTCAGGTGGGGTAGTAGATTCTTACACGACCACCCTAGTGGTACAAGGAAGCAAGCCTTTAACTACCGACGACGCGGAAAATTACATATTTTCTCAAGCAAAATGGCAAAGAAGCAGAATTCTTAAAAGCCTCTTCTTCCTTCCCTAGCTCGAGCACCCTTTCTCAAGAAGCAGCAACAACAAGTCGTGCCTGTTTATATCGTTCCGGCTCTACCAATCCTCCAACTTCTGCCCATTTTCGTCGGTGCCGTCGAGAAAGGCGAAGACGTCTATGAAAGTGTACAACTACTGCTCCCCCTCCCATTTGTCATGGTAAATGCTAAATCCTATAACGGCACTTTGCCCGCATTTGCGTGACAACTACCGAAAAGACTGCACTGCAGTGCTGGCTTGGATTTGCCATGCGAATAAAGCTCCACTTCGCAAGCTGACCTTATGTAGTTGAGAAGAGCATGACCATGATCACAATCACATCAATAAGAAGAAGGGGGACGTCGACATGTCCACTCTCATAACGTCCTCAAAATCATCTGCGTCCTGTCCCCCCTCTTCCGCTTCGTCCTCGTCCTCGTCGTCCGAAACAGCCGCCAAGGCGGCCGCGGTGATGTGATGGTGCTCATCTGCGCCATCGTTGTCGAGTAGTCGGTTTTCCAGCTTCCGGCGCTTCCGCTGGTCCCGGGCAAGCTTTTTGTAGTACTCCCGCGCGTCCGGTACATCCTTCATTTCGGCCTCCCGCCGCGCCTTCCTTCTCTCGCGCTCCGCCTTTTCCTGCCGCTCCCGCTTCAGCGTCACCTTCTTGTTCTTGGCTTCGTTCTTCAGGTACTCGTGTATCCAGGAAAAAACACCCATCCCCATCCATTTTTTGCATGGCAAACAAGGGAGCTTATGCATGGTTGGCATGACAAATTGGATGGGGATGGGTGTTTTTTTCCTGGATATCGTGCTTCCACTTCGCATTCATCTCGTGCCGCCGCTCCGCGTTGGGGCTGTTCCACCCGAGGTCCTCGTCGCTTTGTTTGTTCGAGGTCTCCGAGTCCGACCCTGTGTCCTCCTGGAAGTTGAACTCGTTGAACCGGGCAAGTTGCTTATCGAGCACGTCGGACACCAAGGGCGGGGTCATTGACTCCTTGGCCAGAGTTTCGACCGGTCTCGGACCGTCTAGCTCCGCTTGAATAAGTCGCAGCATCTCCGGATCTTCTTCCTCCTGAGCGGTGTTTTTTCCCGCTGGATCATGCGGTGCCTGTTGCTTCTTTCGCCTGGTGGCACTTATCCTTTTGGAGGGCGGCGTTCTGGGAGCGGCTTTATCATTGTGGTTTTCACGATCCGAACCGTCTGCTTTCGCCTTCGAAGGAGGCGAGTCATTTTTCTCCCTCGCAAGAAACAGCAGCTCCTCCTTCTTCCGACTGCTCCTCTTCAAACTCTTCAAACTGCTGCTGATCAATTTCCTTGGCTTTCCCCCACTGTCCGGCGCCTCCCGGTTCGTCTCCTCGTCGAAGTAACAGATGCTGGAGGTGGAAATCACCCCTTGGGAGTTGATGCGTTCCCGACTGTTGAGACGTATCCGTCCGAGATCGTCTAGTTGTAGTCCTACTCCGTCGTCTTTGTCGCCGTCCGCTGCTTGTAGTCCTCTTCTTTCGTGAAGATCATCGTCGCCCTCGCCGTTTCTTTTTGCCTCGATAGGACGTCGTACATCCTCTCCCTCCACGTCCTCCATGACGACATCCTCTTGCGGCGCCAGCGTTGGCGTTGGGTTTACACTGGAACTACTAGCGGGCACCGTGTTCATTCCGCCTCTATTATCAAAGTGAAAAAAGCCCCCACCCCATATCGAAAAGGAAATCTGTGATGCTGGATTTGCGTACACAAGTCAGATTTGTATTGCAGGAAGGCATTGCGGCCAGATCCCCGGGCTAGGTAGGGGCGTATGGGTCTAGTTGCTCAGCATTGCAAACGGCTGAC